AGCAGCGCATGTCATGGCGACATTCTGACCACAGCAGCGCATGTCATGGCGACATTCTGAGCACAGCAGCGCATGTCATGGCGACATTCTGATCACAGCAGCGCATGTCATGGCGACATTCTAATCACAGCAGCGCATGTCATGGCGACATTCTGAGCACAGCAGCGCATGTCATGGCGACATTCTGAGCACAGCAGCGCATGTCATGGCGACATTCTGAGCACAGCAGCGCATGTCATGGCGACATTCTGATCACAGCAGCGCTTGTCGTGGCGACATTCTGAGCACAGCAGCGCATGTCATGGCGACATTCTGAGCACAGCAGCGCATGTCATGGCGACATTCTGAGCACAGCAGCGCATGTCATGGCGACATTCTGAGCACAGCAGCGCATGTCATGGCGACATTCTGAGCACAGCAGCGCATGTCATGGCGACATTCTGATCACAGCAGCGCATGTCATGGCGACATTCTGAGCACAGCAGCGCATGTCATGGTGACATTCTGACCACAGCAGCGCATGTCATGGCGACATTCTGAGCACAACAGCGCATGTCATGGCGACATTCTGATCACAGCAGCGCATGTCATGGCGACATTCTGAGCACAGCAGCGCATGTCATGGCGACATTCTGAGCACAGCAGCGCATGTCATGGCGACATTCTGAACACAGCAGCGCATGTCATGGCGACATTCTGAGCACAGCAGCGCATGTCATGGCGACATTCTGATCACAGCAGCGCATGTCATGGCGACATTCTGAGCACAGCAGCGCATGTCATGGCGACATTCTGATCACAGCAGCGCATGTCATGGCGACATTCTGATCACAGCAGCGCATGTCATGGCGACATTCTGCGCACAGCAGCGCATGTCATGGCGACATTCTGAGCACAGCAGCGCATGTCATGGCGACATTCTGAGCACAGCAGCGCATGTCATGGCAACATTCTGATCACAGCAGCGCATGTCATGGCGACATTCTGTGCACAGCAGCGCATGTCATGGCGACATTCTGCGCACAGCAGCGCATGTCATGGCGACATTCTGAGCACAGCAGCGCATGTCATGGCGACATTCTGATCACAGCAGCGCATGTCATGGCGACATTCTGAGCACAGCAGCGCATGTCATGGCGACATTCTGATCACAGCAGCGCATGTCATGGCGACATTCTGATCACAGCAGCGCATGTCATGGCGACATTCTGCGCATAGCAGCGCATGTCATGGCGACATTCTGAGCACAGCAGCGCATGTCATGGCGACATTCTGAGCACAGCAGCGCATGTCATGGCGACATTCTGAGCACATCAGCGCATGTCATGGCGACATTCTGATCACAGCAGCGCATGTCATGGCGACATTCTGACCACAGCAGCGCATGCCATGGCGACATTCTGACCACAGCAGCGCATGTCATGGCGACATTCTGAGCACAGCAGCGCATGTCATGGCGACATTCTGAGCACAGCAGCGCATGTCATGGCGACATTCTGATCACAGCAGCGCATGTCATGGCGACATTCTGAGCACAGCAGCGCATGTCATGGCGACATTCTGACCACAGCAGCGCATGTCATGGCGACATTCTGAGCACAGCAGCGCATGTCATGGCGACATTCTGATCACAGCAGCGCATGTCATGGCGACATTCTGATCACAGCAGCGCATGTCATGGCGACATTCTGAGCACAGCAGCGCATGTCATGGCGACATTCTGAGCACAGCAGCGCATGTCATGGCGACATTCTGAGCACAGCAGCGCATGTCATGGCGGCATTCTGATCACAGCAGCGCATGTCATGGCGACATTCTGAGCACAGCAGCGCATGTCATGGCGACACTCTGATCACAGCAACGCATGTCATGGCAACATTCTGAGCACAGCAGCGCATGTCATGGCGACATTCTGAGCACAGCAGCGCATGTCATGGCGACATTCTGAGCACAGCAGCGCATGTCATGGCGACATTCTGAGCACAGCAGCGCATGTCATGGCAACATTCTGATCACAGCAGCGCATGTCATGGCGACATTCTGAGCACAGCAGCGCATGTCATGGCGACATTCTGAGCACAGCAGCGCATGTCATGGCGACATTCTGATCACAGCAGCGCATGTCATGGCGACATTCTGATCACAGCAGCGCATGTTTTGGCGACATTCTGGTCACAGCAGCGCATGTTATGGCGACATTCTGATCACAGCAGCGCATGTCATGGCGACATTCTGCGCACAGCAGCGCATGTCATGGCGACATTCTGAGCACAGCAGCGCATGTCATGGCGACATTCTGATCACAGCAGCGCATGTCATGGCGACATTCTGAGCACAGCAGCGCATGTCATGGCGACATTCTGATCACAGCAGCGCATGTCATGGCGACATTCTGATCACAGCAGCGCATGTCATGGCGACATTCTGCGCATAGCAGCGCATGTCATGGCGACATTCTGAGCACAGCAGCGCATGTCATGGCGACATTCTGAGCACAGCAGCGCATGTCATGGCGACATTCTGAGCACATCAGCGCATGTCATGGCGACATTCTGATCACAGCAGCGCATGTCATGGCGACATTCTGACCACAGCAGCGCATGCCATGGCGACATTCTGACCACAGCAGCGCATGTCATGGCGACATTCTGAGCACAGCAGCGCATGTCATGGCGACATTCTGAGCACAGCAGCGCATGTCATGGCGACATTCTGATCACAGCAGCGCATGTCATGGCGACATTCTGAGCACAGCAGCGCATGTCATGGCGACATTCTGACCACAGCAGCGCATGTCATGGCGACATTCTGAGCACAGCAGCGCATGTCATGGCGACATTCTGATCACAGCAGCGCATGTCATGGCGACATTCTGATCACAGCAGCGCATGTCATGGCGACATTCTGAGCACAGCAGCGCATGTCATGGCGACATTCTGAGCACAGCAGCGCATGTCATGGCGACATTCTGAGCACAGCAGCGCATGTCATGGCGGCATTCTGATCACAGCAGCGCATGTCATGGCGACATTCTGAGCACAGCAGCGCATGTCATGGCGACACTCTGATCACAGCAACGCATGTCATGGCAACATTCTGAGCACAGCAGCGCATGTCATGGCGACATTCTGAGCACAGCAGCGCATGTCATGGCGACATTCTGAGCACAGCAGCGCATGTCATGGCGACATTCTGAGCACAGCAGCGCATGTCATGGCAACATTCTGATCACAGCAGCGCATGTCATGGCGACATTCTGAGCACAGCAGCGCATGTCATGGCGACATTCTGAGCACAGCAGCGCATGTCATGGCGACATTCTGATCACAGCAGCGCATGTCATGGCGACATTCTGATCACAGCAGCGCATGTCATGGCGACATTCTGGTCACAGCAGCGCATGTTATGGCGACATTCTGATCACAGCAGCGCATGTCATGGCGACATTCTGCGCACAGCAGCGCATGTCATGGCGACATTCTGAGCACAGCAGCGCATGTCATGGCGACATTCTGATCACAGCAGCGCATGTCATGGCGACATTCTGAGCACAGCAGCGCATGTCATGGCGACATTGTGATCACAGCAGCGCATGTCATGGCGACATTCTGATCACAGCAGCGCATGTCATGGCGACATTCTGCGCATAGCAGCGCATGTCATGGCGACATTCTGAGCACAGCAGCGCATGTCATGGCGACATTCTGAGCACAGCAGCGCATGTCATGGCGACATTCTGAGCACATCAGCGCATGTCATGGCGACATTCTGATCACAGCAGCGCATGTCATGGCGACATTCTGACCACAGCAGCGCATGCCATGGCGACATTCTGACCACAGCAGCGCATGTCATGGCGACATTCTGAGCACAGCAGCGCATGTCATGGCGACATTCTGAGCACAGCAGCGCATGTCATGGCGACATTCTGATCACAGCAGCGCATGTCATGGCGACATTCTGAGCACAGCAGCGCATGTCATGGCGACATTCTGACCACAGCAGCGCATGTCATGGCGACATTCTGAGCACAGCAGCGCATGTCATGGCGACATTCTGATCACAGCAGCGCATGTCATGGCGACATTCTGATCACAGCAGCGCATGTCATGGCGACATTCTGAGCACAGCAGCGCATGTCATGGCGACATTCTGAGCACAGCAGCGCATGTCATGGCGACATTCTGAGCACAGCAGCGCATGTCATGGCGGCATTCTGATCACAGCAGCGCATGTCATGGCGACATTCTGAGCACAGCAGCGCATGTCATGGCGACACTCTGATCACAGCAACGCATGTCATGGCAACATTCTGAGCACAGCAGCGCATGTCATGGCGACATTCTGAGCACAGCAGCGCATGTCATGGCGACATTCTGAGCACAGCAGCGCATGTCATGGCGACATTCTGAGCACAGCAGCGCATGTCATGGCAACATTCTGATCACAGCAGCGCATGTCATGGCGACATTCTGAGCACAGCAGCGCATGTCATGGCGACATTCTGAGCACAGCAGCGCATGTCATGGCGACATTCTGATCACAGCAGCGCATGTCATGGCGACATTCTGATCACAGCAGCGCATGTCATGGCGACATTCTGGTCACAGCAGCGCATGTTATGGCGACATTCTGATCACAGCAGCGCATGTCATGGCGACATTCTGAGCACAGCAGCGCATGTCATGGCGACATTCTGATCACAGCAGCGCATGTCATGGCGACATTCTGAGCACAGCAGCGCATGTCATGGCGACATTCTGAGCACAGCAGCGCATGTCATGGCGACATTCTGAGCACAGCAGCGCATGTCATGGCGACATTCTGAGCACAGCAGCGCATGTCATGGCGACATTCTGAGCACAGCAGCGCATGTCATGGCGACATTCTGAGCACAGCAGCGCATGTCATGGCGACATTCTGAGCACAGCAGCGCATGTCATGGCGACATTCTGAGCACAACAGCGCATGTCATGGCGACATTCTGAGCACAGCAGCGCATGTCATGGCGACATTCTGATCACAGCAGCGCATGTCATGGCGACATTCTGAGCACAGCAGCGCATGTCATGGTGAGGGGAGGGGGAAGGTGGAGGGGGTGGGAGGGGCGCGGGGTGGGGGGGTTGCGGGGGTGGGGTGGTTCGGGGTGGAGGGGTTGGGGGGATGGGGTGGTGCGCCTGGGGATCCATGGAACGGGAGAGGTCACCCCTCCCTTTGTCTCCCCTTCTTTCACCACTGGCGGATATATCACCAGTGGTCAGGCACAGACGCTCGGTTCGGGCACAGAGGCTCTCTTCCAACCAATTGTTGATCTCCCTCGCTTCTCTCCCTTACTCTCTCTCTCTCCCTTACCCTCTCCGTTACTCTCTCCGGTTCTCTCCCCATCTTACTCAGCTCGCAGACATCGAGATCAGTAGTCGGCAGGCGCAAGTGTTTGAGAGCCACAAGGCGGGGCACATGGCGATTCAGGAGCTGCAGAAGGAGATGAGTTCGACTTATTCACTCCTCTCTTCCCCCTCCCTTCCTCTCTCTCCCTCGCTCTCCCTCTCTCTCTTTCACAGCTTGCAGACATCGAGATCACGAGCCGGCAGGCGCAAGTGTTTGAGAGCCTGAAGGCGGGGCACATGGCGATTCAGGAGCTTCAAAAGGAGATCAGCCTGGAAGACGTGGAGAAGCTATTGGGGGAGTCGGAAGACGCCAAGGCATTCCAAGACGTGAGTGAGTTCACAGGGCAGCTGGTGTTCGACGCCTATTTGAAGCACGGGTTTGGGGGAGGGAGGTGAAGGTGTCACGGAATTTTCGAGCTGCTGCAGAAGGAGATGAGTCTGGAGGACGTGGAGAAGCTGCTGGGGGAGTCGGATGACGCCAAGGCGTTCCAAGACGTGAGTGCATTGCAGGGCAGAGCAGGTTGAGTCAGATCGCGACTTGAGGCATGGGGGAAGAGGGAGTGTTGGGTTAGAGCAATTCAGGGGAGCTGCAGAATGAGATGAGTCTGGGAGGACGTGGAGAAGCTGCTTCGCGAATCGGAAGACGCCAAGGCGTTGCAAGACGTGAGTGCATTGTAGAACAAACAAAGCAGAGCCGCGCAGGTGGAGTAGGCTAATGAGGCACGTTGAGCAAAAAGGCGCCTCAGACGGCACACCCACGCCTCAGGCGTCACGTGCGATGCTTTCCTCCGTCCGCGCCCAGCTGACGGCAGCAGCGCCAGCACTATGTGGCGCGGTTCAGCCCAACGCACCCCTTTTGCACCGATTTCCATTCCCTTGACCAACGTGCCTGGTGCAACCGCTACTCTTTCCAAGGATGCGACGCCAGTGCAGGGTTAACAGGATGGAGCGACGGCAAAGGCGGCTTAAGATGCAAGCACGCATGCGGGGATGGCGGAGGCAAGTACAATGCCATGCGTTGTCTCGCCGCCGCTGCCAAGCGAAGTCATGTGCGTGCATCAAGTGCTCAGGATGAAACCCGGGAGAATGCTCTCTCAGCACGCGAGCAGGCCGCCAGCTGCGGTGGCCACTGCTTGTGCTTGTGCGTGCTGAGAGAGCATCCTTCCGGGTTTCATCCTGAGCGCTCGATGCTCGCACGTGGCTTCGCCTGGCAGCGGCGGCGAGACAACACATGGCATTGTGCTTGCCTCCGCCATCCCCGCCTGCATGCGTGCATCCCGTGCCGCCTCTGTCATCGCTCCATCCTGTTGACCCTGCACTGGCGTCGCATCCTTGGAAAGAGTAGCGGTCGCACCAGCCACGTTGATCAAGGGAATGGAAATCGGAGCAAAAGGGGTGCGCTGGGCTGAACCGCGCCTCATAGTGCTGGCGTTGCTGCCGTCAGCTGAGCGCGGACTGGGCGAAAGAAGAGCAGAGCAGGTGGATTAGGTTACTGAGACTCGTTGAGCAATTTTTAAGGCACGTGTCAGGGCACGGAGCAACACAACACAGGAGCTGAGTTACAAAAGAATATTAGTTTGGAGGACGTGGAGTGGAGTGGTGAAGTTATGGGTTGAGTGGAGGATGGGGATGGGGTGAATGAATGGTCGTAGTAGGTCGGCATGTAGTAGCGACGGTTGGGTGTGCATGCATATCACATCCATGGTTGGATCAGATGAACGAGAAGGAAAGATTGTTTGTTAAACTAAATGTAGCAATGGTTCTACCTGTCGCTCGTCTTCTCTCTCGTTCTCTTCTTTTTCCTCTTCCCGTTTCCGTTTTGTCTTCCTCCTCCCCTTCCTCTTCCTTCTCCCCTTCTTCTCCCTCTCCCTTTTTCTCATACTCTTCCCACATCCACTGCTCTCCACCCCTTCCGACCCCCCTTCCACCGCGCCCTGCTATCCTCCCTGCGTCAACCAATCAGGAGGTGGCTGCCATGCTGGCGGGTGCGCTGTCAGAGGAAGCTGAGCTGGAGGCTCTTGCTGAGCTGGAGGCACTGGAGACAGAGGTGAGGGTGGGAGGGGTGAGGGAGAGAGGTGAAGGAGGGGAGGGGTAAGGGAGATAGGGAAGGGTGCAATGCACATGCAGCTCTTGCTGAGCTGGGGGCACAACTGACAGAGGTGAGAGGGGGAGGGGTGAGGGAGGGAGGGGTGAGGGGGAAGAGGGGTGAGGGGGAAGAGGGGTTGGGTAGGGGGAAGAGAGGTGAGGGGGGAGAGGGATGCAATGCGCCGGCAGCTTTTGTTGAGCTGGGGAAGCTAGAGACAGAGGTGAAAGGGGGGGACAGAGCTTAGGGGGACGGGTGGGGGGAAAGGGAGAGCCAAGAGAAAGTGAGGGGGGAATGGGAGACGTGAGGGGGAGGTTGAATTGTGCGTGGGGCAGGGGAGCGAGGGAAACGGATCAGGGTAGCTCATGGTGAGTGAAGGAGAGAGCAGGCCGACGTGAGGGGTAGTTAGGCTGATGGTATGGTGTGGGTGTGATTGTGCTGGTGGTAGGGGTAATTGCGCTGATGCTGTGGGTGTTTGGGCTGACGGGATTGAGCAATTTATCAGCCTGACTACCCTTGTGCTTGCTCATTCTTCCCCTCCCCTTTTTCTCCCATCCAGCTCGCCATAAAGGAGGTAAAGGAGGAACTGCCTGCTATGTTTGAAGTGCATCTGCTGCCCGATGTGTGTCCTGATTCGATTCCTTTTCCTTGTTGCTGTCCTCTTCCTACCCCCCGTCTCTCCCACCCAGCTCGCTATGAAGGAGGTAGAGGAGGAAATGCCTGCCGTGCCTGAAGTGCCCGTGCTGCCCGTTGTGTGTTCAAGTTTTAACGTGTTTCTGTTGCCCCTCCTCTTGCTATTCCTACGCCCCCCTTTCTTCCATCCAGCTCGCAATGAAACAGGTTCAGGACGAAATGTCTGCCGTGCCTGAAGTGCCCGTGTTGCCCGTTGTGCCAAAGGAGCCGCCAGTTAAAACACCGGCTGCAGGGGAGGCGGAGGAGGAGGGAGAGGGTGAGGATGCCACAGCTGCTGCTGCTGCTGCTGTTGCTGCTGAGGAAGGAGCAAGCAGAGAACGAGGTGAGTGCCAGATTTCTTGTGCCGCCTGCTATGCCTGATGTGACCATGCTGCCTGCTATGCCTGATGTGACCATGCTGCCTGCTATGCCTGATGTGACCATGCTGCCTGCTATGCCTGATGTGACCATGCTGCCCGATCTGCCAAAGGAGCCGCCAGTTGAAGCACCAGCTGCAGGTGAGGCGGACGAGGAAGAGGGGGAGGGAGGGTGAAGGTGCCACTGCTGTGCTGCGTCTGCTGAGGCCGAGGATGGAAGGAGCAGAGAACGAGGTGAGTGTGCCTGCTAGCTTGCTCTGTGTCCGTATAAAGTGCGCCTGCTAGCAAACTAGGCTGCTTAGGCTGAGGATGGAAGGAGCAGAGAACGAGGTGAGTTCCCCTGCTAGCAGGCTTGGGTGTCTGTAGGTGTGCATGTGTCGAAGGCAGTCCAAGCGATGGTTGAGGTGGAGGCAGAAGAGGAAGAAAAGAAAAGGGGAGGGGAGGGTGGGGGTGGGATGGGTGGGTGGGTGTGAGGGGGGGGTTGATTTGGGTAGGAGAAGGGGGGAGGATGAGCAGCCAAGAGTCGTAAGAGGTTGGTTCTCGATTTTATTTTTCATAGCAGGCTTGTGATGAAAACCCCTTTCTTCTCAATCATGTAGGGTAGCCTCTGTAGGGAGGCAGTGACCACGATCTGGCTATGCTAAGCTGAAGCCTGCTGAGAGGGTGGGACTTCAATTAGACTCTGAATGCACTCTGAATGCACTTTGCATAAGAACCTCTATTGTGGGTTGTTCTGTTCGGGCAGGCTTGTTTGGGCAGGCTTGTGATGAAAAAACCTCCTACTTCTCAATCAACTTGGGGTAGCCTCTGTATTGAGGTAGTGACCACAATCTGGCTATGCTAAGCTGAAGCCTGCTGGGAGGGTGGGACTGATAATGTGGGTGGGGAAGATGGGTTGGTTGAAAGCAGCGCACTGTACGTACGCACCCATGCCAGCGTTTGTGGGGATATGCAGGCTCGGAACAGGTGTTTGCACATGTGTATTGCTGGCTGTGCTTGCATGAAAATGAACTTATGTGTATATATTCATAGTGCACACGCGACCGGAAGTATGAATGCATATGTGAATGGATGTGTGCACGTGAATGGATGTGTGCACCTGCTTCATAATGGATGGATGGGCGCTTGTCTGCCCTCATGTAAATGTATGGGTGCATGTATCCATGTGAATAATTGGGTGTCTAATATGTGAGACGTGTGTGCGGATGCGATGTTAAACCTCTCTTGTTCGTCCCTCTGACCCTTCTCTTGCAGTTCATGAAGAACCGCTCCCTGCATAACATGTCTGCTACAGTAACCGAATACAGTAGAGAAGGTACAACTGGGTGTGGTAAATGATAATTCTGTATGGTATGTTGAACCGAAGTCTTGAGTATTTGCAAATGTATGCCAGTGTTCTGTAATAGGAGAGTCCAGCTTCTTTTTCTGTTTCAGTTCAAGCCTTGGTAAGGCACAGATGTGCCAAAGTGTACACACTCAGGGTGTCTTCCTACACCTCATATCTCATATCAGACTTGCCTGAAAAAATGTGCGAATGGTTTTGGGTTTAGGGGAATTTCAGTGTGAGTCTGATACCGTATCACCCCGGATATAAGCGCAGGCCTATGTTAAGCGCATGCGCTTATATCTGGAGCAATGCGTTTATGGCTGATCCTATTATAGTGCACCCCCTGTAAAACCTAGATTTATTATAAGCGGATCCTATTTTTTTAATAGAAAACGTGTCAAAATACTGAAACGATTTTCACTTTAGCAGGCTGATAATTTTCAAATTCGGTTCTGTCCAGTTCAAACCATGCACAGGCTGCGAGTCCAGTCAGCATGAGCTGTCAGGGGCGCCCTGTGAGTCACATCGAATGTTTTTGCCAGCGCGCGCGAAATTTTCACTCACGACCCCATGTAAATTCGACTCGATTGAAATGGCAGGCACGAGATCTACAGTTGGGTGTTAGAAAATTGTAAATTTATATTTATCATTTTATAAGCACATGCGCTTATAATTTTGACTCAATTATAAGCGCACACCCCTAAAAAATACTGTTTTATTATAAGCGCACCTGCGCTTATATCCGGGGTGATACGGTACCGTGAGAGGTTTGCCTGATATGGGGGCGTAGGAACACGCCCTCATTGTCTGTAAGCAATAAGAGCCTTGTGCACTGAACGATAGCAATTACTCAAAGTTATACTGCAGAGGGAAGACACAACGTGGCCCTCAGTCTCAACATGACATTGCCTCCCTGCGTCACCTCGCAGTTTCCCCCCAGCAAACGATTTAGAACATCACTGCCCAGCTGGTTTCAGAAAACAAATTGCTGCACCGGTAACTGGAATGCATGCGTGATGATGAGACATAACTTGAAGTGGTAAGGAAGGGGTCAGGCAAGGTACAGCTGCACAAGAAATGGAAGAGACAGAAATGAGCACCAATCCCAAACGAAGCCTTCAGCTAGCTATAGCCTACCAGCATCATCAAAAGCTTGCATATTCCCCTGCCAGCATGTGCAAGATTAGCATCTAACTGATCTGTCACTCCCTAACGCATGTAGCTCATTCCCTGCTGCTGCTGCTGCTGCTGCTGCATGTGCAGCTGAAGCCACTCCTGCTGATTCTTCTGCAGCTGCATCACCTGGCTTGGTACCCATTGCACCTGATGCTGGTAGTTTGCAACAAGCATGGCTGCCATAGCTGGTGGCATGGCAACAGGAGCATGTGGCATGGTAACAGGAGCATGTGACATGGTAACAGGAGCATGTGGCATGGGTACAGCTACAGTGGCTTGTGAAGTAGCTGTATGCAGCAGATGCCTGCTAGATGCCATAGCTGTTGTTGAGGACCAAGTCTGCCGCTGCTGCTGCTGCTGCTGCAGATAATAATGATTCTGCTGCTGTTGGTAATGTGGGTACTGCTGTGGTTGCTTGTACTGCTGAAAATGCTGTTGCTGCTGGTATGTCTGTGGCTGCTGAAAAGACTGTTGCTGTTGGTACGAAGTTTGCAGCTGAACTTGATTCTGCTGGTGGTGCACGTACTGCTGCTGCTGCTGCTGCTGCTGATGTTCCTTCTGAGGTAGATCCTGCTGCTGCTGGTGATGCAGCTGCCAGCCATTTTGCTCCCGAACAACAGGGGCTTTGCTCTCACCCCACATGCTCCTTCCCTGCTGATACATCCTCTTCATCTCAACGTTCCTGCTAGCCCGTGGACTTGCAGCCCCAAACTTTCCCTTTGCAGTGTCACCATGTCGAGGCTGATGTTGCCTGCTGTAACCCTGCTGGGAAATCGTCGGCTGATGGTGGTGGTGGTGTTGCGGGTGGTGGTGGTGATCAGAGGACGTGCAGGTCACATGCTTGGAGCACCGGTACTCTTTATCCCTGGCTGACTCTCGGCCACCCACAGCACCCTGCACTTGACCACTATTTCTTGCAGCTTCTCCAGATTCTTTTGAGTTATCATGCCCCAGACCTTTTCTGTCCATTTCCTTGCTTCTTGACTGACACCTGACCGTGCCGGCATTGACTGACAAAGCACTCAACGGAAAATGCACCTCCCTGTCTGCCTCGCTTCCCTTCCCCCGATCAGACTTTCCCCTATTCACATGATAGTTGCTATTTCCACTTGCTGCCTTTGTCAGACCAGACTCAGCTGCCGCACGCATCTCCCTATTCTCTCCATCTGCACGTACCGCCAGCCTCTGCATTGCTGCTACTGCTGCTTCTCCCTCTGCCATTCTTCCAGCCTGGCCATGATAAACCACTCCACCAGTACCACCCAAAGCAGGACACCTGCCAATAACACCTGCTCCAGATGCTGCCATCCCTGGCGGAGCCCACATCGTGTTGCCACCTGCCATATGATCTGGCCTCCTGCTGCCGAAGTGAGCATAATTGTTGCTGGGATAACCTGGCCGACCTGGCAATCGCCTTGTGGGTGTTCTTATTCCGATCCGCTTCCGGCGAACGCTGCGAGCCTTGTCTCCTCGTGCGTGCTTCTCTCCAATGACAGCAATTCGCTCTGCCTCATTGGCCCATCTCTGCGATCACAAAGGACAGGGGTTGAAGGAGATTGGCCAGGAGGACTCTAAGCAATCATTGCAGGTGAAAGCCGTTGAGAGCGATGGAGAAATGACCACAAATGTGCTTTCCTGAGATTGTTGAGGACAAGGGAGAAAGCTTGAGCCTTTGCAACAGGTGTACGACTGCGAATGTGCTTTCTTCAGGAAATCCGTTGACAAAGCTTACTTGTCGAAACGTTTTGTGTTTGTACAGAAATCTCCCCTTTACAAGAAGCTGCTTCATAGGCGGTAGCGCCTGTAGCCCAGTGCTCCAAATCACCTCCACCTGAAAGTAGAAAACAAAGAAACGGGTTAGCAGAGCAAAAAGGGGATTAAAACGAACGAACGTGCTCCAACAAAGTAATGAGCGGTAGCAAGAATCCTCATTTCCATCTGACAGTGATGGAAAAAGGAGGTGCTTACAGTGAAGGTGTGCTGTTGCCTCTTTTCACCATAGCTCTCCATGACCACTCTACCTGCCACCATCCGACACCCAAGACACTTCGACTTCTTGCTGTGTCTGCACGAGCAATCCATTGCGGTGCAGAGGCGGGTTACGTTCATGTGGGAAACAGGAAGAAGATGGATCATAATCGAGGCTCACCCCTTGAAAATTCGTTGTCTGAAAAGGACGACATCCTTCCGGCAAACATCGCCTGCAAGAAGTATAAAAATCGGACGATGAAATGGAACTCGTCTGACTAGGACCCATGCTGCATGGTGGCGTAGGGTTTCTGCATGTCGATGTGAGTTTATAGGTTTATACCTGTGCAATTGATGCAGAAGGAAGAAGGGGGGTACTTTCGCATGGCTGAGGCGACGTCCTTGATCCTGCAAGGACGAAAGTAAAGCAGAATACAGCACGTGACAATGGTTAGTGTACTTTCACATGTCAGTGATCAGCTAGACGAGTTTTCGTACGAAGCTTTTTAACAAGCCATTCGCGGCTGGAGAGTATTGAAACCTTACTCCGCATGCTCCTGAATGCGACTGATCAGGTCTGACTTTACTCCGCTCATCCTCAAAGAGTGACGTCTCAGGTAAGCCTTGCACAGCTCAGCGGTCAGTTTGCTCCAGTCTCCCGCTGTCAACAGAACCAACAGATAGTAAGACCAGCAGAAATCTAGAATGTGATAGAAAGCAAGACCGACTCGTATACTACTCGCGAAATCTGATAAAAATGGGTTAGTACGAAGCTAAGAAAACAACATATATCTCACCCTGAATCAGCAATGAAGATTTGTCGTAAGCACTGGAAGACGAAGAGCTGGTGTCATCAGTGGTATCGTCGCCAGTCTTCTTCCTCGAACTCTTGGAGCTAACAGTCTTTGAGGTTTTGCTTTTCGATGTCGACTTAATTTCCGACTCGTTGTCTGAAAGCGTTTCGGCGTCATCCACCTCCCAGCAGCTATCATCGCTGTCACTGTCGCTGCTGCTTTCGCTGCCATTGTCGCTGGCTGTTTCACTCTCATCGTCAATAAGCAAAATATAATCGGGTTTTGACTCTTCATCTGTCATTGTACTGTCAATTGTCAACGCTGGTGGGACCACGTTGAGCGTCTTTCACCACTCTTGCACGCGGGGAAAACCTACTGCTGACTTCTAACTCGCAAACTAAGTCGTGTGCCACCTGGACCGTGATTAAATAGTAACTTTCAAAGCTAAAGGCAAACGTGATATCTCCTTTACGCTATCGCTGAGATTTTTTTTACACAGATTTCCTCTGTGACATTGACAACTGTGAAGCCAAGATAAGGCTAAGCAGCAGCTGAAGGCAAAACGGAATTAGAATCATTATGCTGTGCAATCCTGAGGCTGAATGGCACTGGGGATGGATTGTGAGGCCAAATGTGAGCCGTTGCTCCTGAGGATGGTCTGGTCAGCCACGGTAAATCATACATCTCATGAATCATGGATCATGATCCATGATTATCCCTTTCCATGATCCCATTCCCTGGACCAGAGACTAAGGCTCATGCGGCACTATGCTCAAAACCTTTCTGAAACGACCCAGGGTTGTGTCTGTTGTCAGAGCTGACGGTAGACGAGAAGATTGACGGTGCGGATGATATGGAAATGCTAGACGCGAAATCTAGGCAGTTGGTTCGCTCCAGCCACGCACATTCCAAGCCATCTTCTCCCACACTGCTAACCAGGCCTGGTGGTGTCTCTGACAAGCGCGAACGCTTTGGGTTCGAAAAGGCGAGGGAAAACGGAACAAGTGTACAGTGCACGCATCCAATGTGCGTGATTCGTCTTTGCACTAGTCAGGCATTGAGCATTGAATCAAGCGTCGCGATGGTGCGTCAGCTCGATTTCATCAGATCTGCTCTGCACCCTTCCCCGCCAAAACAAATATCAAGTTCAACCCCCCACCCCATTGTCTCGTACCGCAGCAGCACCAGAAAATGACGAGACAAGTAGAACAGCTGCAAAATGGATGTTGCCGCTTTGTTAGCTTCAGCACTTCCTTCCAGAGAAGCCGACATGGCTCACATTTGGAGTTAGATCTGGTCACTAGTACTAGTTACAAGGTTTCATCAATAGTACTCAGTTCTTGTTGCAAGTACTTGACAGACTGTGCACGCTAAATTATACGGCAGTGCATCCGGTGAAAAAAGCATCATGACCGTTGACGCGCCTAATTGCGCGACTAATTCGCTCGTTGGCCACAAAGGTGAAACCGTCCACGACAAGCCGACTCCCAATGTCAAGGCTACCGAAACGGGAAGTGGAGCGAGCTCGAGAAGCAACGCACCAAAAGCCGCGAGCGTGTGGGCTCTGAGAAACAGAACGGTTCACGCTGGATGCTCCACGTCCGACGTTTACGCCAAGGCGTTGTCCTTGATCCAAGGTACACTTCATACACCGCCTTTAGGTTGACTTTTGAGTCGACCTACAATTATCCTCGATACAAGGTACGCGCCGTGGATTGCTGTTGGCATCCGTTCCAAGCCTTTGCTGTTCCGAATTTCAAACCGTCACTTGTCAAATCACAAATGTTGTGCTTTCCAAAGTGTTGTTGCGTCTCGTAACTAAGTCTATCATGCGCGTCACGTCTGTCATGTGCTCGTTGGGATGGCAGCGCGCGAGTGGAGCGAGATGACTGTTGGGCAGTGCCAGGCGTACCTGAGGTTCCACCGCCTGCGAGTGAGCGGCGCCAAGCCCGTCCTCGTCAGCCGCATCCAGGAGCATCTCGAGTGAGTTTGTCCGCCTTATAAGCTGATTCTGAATCCGCCTCCCCACTTCCTCCTTTTCTCTCTCCGTCCCTCCCGGTTCCCCCGAACCAAACACTCTGGCGAAGAGCCATGTTCAGTGTGGGAATATTTCCATGTTCGTGCCTTCCAAGATTCGCACGAAAGGTATTCCTGTATGATGAAGCAGAGAACGCTTTCACTGTGACTGGAAAAGCCATCTGTGTCCGTTTCTGTCTCTCCTCGGCTTATCAGGATCAACGATGCCGCGTCAGCCATGCGCAAGTATCCGCCCGAATCCTTCTCCATTCACTGCAAAGGTACGTACCACCTCTAACCCCCTCGCCCTCTCTCCCCGTCGCCCTCTCACCTCCTCGCCCCTTCGCCCCCTGCGCCCGCAACCCCGCGTGATTCTTGAGTCAACCCTGGCCGTTCACCCCTCCCTTAATCCCTTACTCCCAACCGCATTCATGCAGATGGTACTATCATCTCTTCCTTTTCTCTAGTACGGCACTTGAAAGAGCTTTGAGACGCCTAGACATCTGAAATGGCTCTTAAATCGCACCTTGTGCTTAACCGCAATCACTATACACCGCACAGTCAAGCACTCGATGGCGAACCAGGTGAACTTCCGGTTTGAGCCTTTTCTTCTTGAGACACTCGTTTCCTCTATGTGCCTTTGGTTTTTATGCTCCACTGTCGAATGTCCATGCAGGCGACGTGTGCAGGAATGACGTGGTGCTCTTCAAGCAGTGCCTCTGTTGTTTTCCCGCCTGATTTCAAGTGCCTGACCTACCGTTCTAGGCCGCGTTTACATTGCGCGAAATGGTGCGTGCAGACACAAGAAAAACTGTCCCGGGTGTCTGCAAGTGGCGGGGCGAGTGATCATCGAGAGTTACGGCGAATTGAAGCAGCAGCACACCTTCACTGTAAGCTCGTTCGCGTCTATCAAGAGTGAACTTGTGGAAATAGCAGTGAGCACGTGCTTGTGTATACTAATTGCGGTTTACTCCGATACGTGAAATTTAAAATTGATATGTGAGCCCCAAGAACTTTGATATGTGAAATTTAAAATTGAGTTTAATCTTTGGTTTTTATATTTGAATCTAATATTTCATTTCAATCTCAGGTGGAAGTGCTCTGGATCTCGGGCTTGCAGCCTTTGCCGCCACTCAAGCAGCACATGCTGAAGGGGAGAAAGCTGTACGGATTTTCAACGCACCGCCAGGTGAGCTCGCCTTTTGAGACGCCATATTTGACAAATGTCAAGAAACTTTCAACGTGGGAGCTCAATCAAACGTGACGCATCTGCATAACGGCTGTAGCTCTTTCCTCTATGCCCTTTGCCTTGGACCAATGAGTCGCAGTGCTGGCTGAAAATCATGCAAGAGGAAATGCGGCCCGCGGTGTTTGCAACATGCGCGAGGCCCTTTTCCTCAATGGTTACTCATTCCCTGTTCTTCCCTTTGCCATGCGTGCAGCCTTGGAGCAACGAGGCTCGGAGAGGGTTGCTGTTCTGGAAGAGAAGCACGCGAGGGGAGGCGCAGCTCGCAATGTTTGCAGCGTGCGCAAGGAGAGGGCTCGGGTGGGGAGGCGTGCAGCTTCCTTAATGGTTCCTCATTCTCTGTTCTCCCCTACCCTTTTACAGCCTTGGCCCAACGAGGCGGAGAGAGTTGCAGTGCTGGCTGAAAAACACGCGAGGGGAGGCGCAGCTCGCACCGTTCGCAGCGTGCGCAAGGAGTGGGCTCAGGTGGAGAGGCGGGCAGCAGCACGGAAAGCAGCAGGCGAGGCAGCTGTGGAAGCTGCCGCGAAGGCGCTGCAAGGGCTGGTGATAGGAGGGCTGGTAGGTGCGCGGCGTGGGAGGGAAGGGCGGGCAGTTGAGGTGCGTGAGGAACATGCAGTGGGGAGTTTAGGTGCTGGAGAGAATGATGCAGCTGCAGGGAGAGTGGAACGGGCAGCTGAGGAGGAGAGAGCAGCTGAAGCAGCAGCAGCAGCAGCTGAAGAGGCGAGAGCAGCTGAAGAGGCGAGAGCAGCTGAAGAGGCGAGAGCAGCTGAAGAGACGAGAGCAGCTGAAGCAGCAGCAGCAGCTGAAGAAGCAGCAGCAGCTGAAGAGGCGAGAGCAGCTGAAGAAGCAGCAGCAGCTGAAGAGGCGAGAGCAGCTGAAGAAGCAGCAGCAGCTGAAGAGGCGAGAGCAGCTGAAGCAGCAGCAGCAGCTGAAGAGGCGAGAGCAGCTGAAGAGGCGAGAGCAGCTGAAGAGGCGAGAGCAGCTGAAGCGGAGAGAGCGGCTGAAGCGGAGAGAGCGGCTGAAGCAGAGAGAGCGGCTGAAGCGGAGAGAGCGGCTGAAGCAGCAACAGCAGCGATGCAGCGGCTGGCAATACGACGAGGAGTAGGTGGTGCAGCTGGGGTGACTACGACCAAAGGTCGAGGCAGCCAAGCAAGAAAGGGAAAAAGTCCGAGAAGCTTCCCTCAGACCAACAACGGGAATGAGAGGGAGGAGTGGGAGAGGAGCCGAGAGCCTGCGACAAACAATACGCCCTTGCGCAGTCAGGCGGTGAACGTGAGTGCAGTGAGATGTGATTCAAGGGACAGGGAGATTCTGAAGCGGGAGAGGGCACGCGTGGGGAATGAGAAGGGGCGGGGAGCTGATGCAGTGGCGGGGAATGGCAGTCGTGTGGAGTCAGGCGGGGGTGTGATGGGTGGGGGTGGTCCTGTGGAGGCGACTGTGCTCAAATACCACAACCAGCCAACGGGAGAGGTGAAGGGAGGGAGTCAGACCAGAGATAGAGGAGGCAGAGACAGGGTCAGAGAGAGGGACAGAGACAGAGAAACAGACATGGATAGAGACAGAGGCAGAGGCAAAGACCATACGGAGGTCCTGGACCCTTGCCTACCCAACCATCTCTGCCAGTGCAGAGCAGGGAGAGTGCAAGCTGGCATCCACCATGCGCTCCGCAAGGAGTGCGCCCGCATTGCAAGGGAAGCGGGGTTCGGCGTCCAGGTCGACCCGACCCTTTACATATTCGGCATTGAGCTAGAGGACTTGAAGGTGGATCTCGCCATCCGGCACCCGGATTCGAGGGCGGTGTGGCTGTGCTTCATAACCGTCACCGACCCCATGTCCTCACCTCAAGACCCCACAGCAAGCCAGGCTGTAGATAGGGGTGCACCCGCAGCAGCACGGTCCAAAGAGCACGAGAACCGCAACCTCGCGGCCCGGGTTGTCTTCCTGGATATGGCGGTGGAGACGTACGGGGGCTGCTCCCCTGGGGTGCTCGATTTTCTCCGCCTCTGCGCCAACCTTGGGGCCAAGCGGCTGTACAACGCTGGGCGGGCTTTAAGGGTAGTCGAGAAGCTCTACCATCATTACAGGCAGCGCTTTTCCATCGCGCTGCAGCGCGGCCTAGCAAACGCGCTCATGGGCAAGAGCTTGTCGGGCTTTAAGGCCGGGGCAGCCCGTACAGCCTACCAGGAGGAGCCTCTTGGCCTTGGGGATCTCATGCATGTGCTCGAGTTTTGAGACGTCTCAAAAGTCAGCCAATACAGCCTGCCGGGGGGAGCCTCTTGAGTCGACTCAAGAGTCAGCTTGACGGGCTATGTGTCAAATGTTGTGGTCTTAGTGATGTGTGTTACAGGGGGTACAACTGTTAGGGTTATGTTTATGTACCCCAACCAACCTTGGTGAAACCAACACTTTCATTCTTGACATGGTATCACCTAGGTTAGGATCTTGTAGGCTTCCGATCCTCTCGTTCACGTCCGTAGCGCCCGAGCCTATCTCATACCCTAGTCCACGTTACGCCGGTACTGTCCCCTAGCGCCTCTCGCGCTCGTCTCTCTCGTGTCCTAGCGCCCGCTGCGCCTGCGCCGCGTCGCCCCTGCTGTCCCGTCCCGTCCCGTCGCCCCTGCTGCCCCGTCGTCCCTGCTGTCCCGTCCCGTCGCCCCTGCCGTCGCGTCGCCCCTGCTGTCCCGTCCCGTCCCATCGCCCCTGCTGTCCCGTCGCCCCTACTGTCCCGTCCCGTTGCCCCTGCCGTCGCGTCGCCCCTGCTGTCCCTTCCTGTCCCGTCGCCCCTGCTGTCCCGTCGCCCCTGCTGTCCCGTCCCGTCGCCCCTGCCATCGCATCGCCCCTGCTGTCCCGTCCCGTCGCACGCACCCCATGCGCCCTGCCCGTCCGTCGCGCCCTGCGCCTTGCTCGTCCGTCGCGCCCTGTGCGCCCTGCCCGTCCGTCGTGCCCCGTGCGGCCTGCCCGTCCGTCGCACCCTGTGCGCCTTGCCCATCCGTCGCGCCCCCGCTGCGCCCTGCCCGTCCGTCGCGCCCCGTGCGCCCTGCCTGTCCGCGCGTGTCACGCCCGTCCCTGCCAGTCGCGTCCGTCCCGTCGTGACGCACTATCTGTCACGCCCTACGCAGGCCCTTTAGGCGTTTAGGGTTTCGGCAGCAGCAGTATCCACCTCTACGCTTCCGCTATGGCGACCCTTAGGGTCCTGCGTTTTGACGCTGTGGGTAGGCCGCTCGAGTTCTCGGTCTGGCTCCTGCGTACGCGCCACCTCCTAGAGAGCCGGGTTCAGGCACACAAGACTCTGCGGGCGCACGCTTCCTGTGACCTACCTAAACCAGCTGATCCTGCACCCTTAGCAGCTGACCCCACACCTGCAGACAGTGACCGTTATGCACGCAAGCGCGCTGACGTGGCAGCGTGGAAGTCGCGTGACGCTGCGGCCTGCATCGCCCTCAGCAGCCTCCTCCCTGAGTCCGAGGAGACCCACTTCACTCAGGTTCGCATGGCTAGTGAGTTCCTGAATGCGTTCAAGGCCCGCTACGCTACTCCCACCACTGTCTCTCTTGGTCGCTTGTTCCTTCCGTTCCTGTTTCCCGACCTCGCCTCGTTTGAGCGCACTGCTGACTTGATAACTCATCTGCGCTCGCTCGATTCTAGCTACTGCGCTGCTTGCACTGACGCACATCTTGTACTGCTCCCCCCCCCCCATGACGATTACTATCTATTTCATCGCCACTAGCCTCCCTGACCGCCTTGCCTCGGTTCGTGACGCGCTTCTTCTGAAGCACCCTAGCGAGCTCACTATCGAGGTGTCAGATGTATATGCCTTAGCCTATGTAGGCTGTAGTGGGGTAGACACTAAGGGGTACAGGTTTTATATTTGTATCTCACACTTTCCTAATTGATTCATTCCTGTTTAATTCTTCACATGGTATAGAGCGGGTTCCCTCATGGGACCGTTCCTTCCTAAGGGCCCACCATAAGCAATTTTTTTTTAGCTGCCCGAAGCGCGTCTCGCGCCCTGCCCTAATTTTTTTTTTTTCGCGGCCCCCTAGCGGCCCCTAACGGCCCCTACGCGGCCCCTACGCGATCCCTACGCCGCCCCTAAACGGGCCCGTCGCGGCCCCGTACCTGACGCGGCCCCGTCCCTGACGCGGCCCCGCCCCTACCCGGCCCCTACGCGGCCCCTACGCGGCCCCTACGCGGCCCCTACGCGGCCCCTACGCGGCCCCTACGCGGCCCCTACGCGGCCCCTACGCGGCCCCTACGCGGCCCCTACCCGGCCCCTACGCGGCCCCTACGCGGCCCCTACCCGGCCCCTACGCGGCCCCCTGCGCGGCCCCCTACCCGGCCCCTACGCGGCCCCCTACGCGGCCCCCTACGCGGCCCCCTACGCGGCCCCTCAGCGGCCCCTACGCCGCCCCTACACGGCCTGACCCGGCCCCGTCCCTGACGCGGCCCCTACGCGGCCCCTACGCCGCCCCTACGCGGCTCCTACGCGGCCCCTAAACGGCCCGACCCGGCCCCGTACCTGACGCGGCCCCTACGCCGCCCCTAAAAGGCCCCGTCCCGGCCCTACCCCGGCCCCGTCTCGGCCCCGTCCCGGACCTGCCCCGGCCTCGACTCCGTCCCGGACCTGCCTTGGCCCCGACCCCGTCTCGGACCTGCCCCGGCCCCGACCCTGTCCCGGCCCTACCTCGGCCCCGTCCCGGACCTGCCCCGGCCCCGACCCCGTCCCGGACCTGCCCCGGCCCCGACCCTGTCCCGGCCCCGTTGCTGCCCCGTCCCGGACCCTGCTCGGCCCCGACCCTGTCCCGGACCTGCCCCGGCCCTGACCCTGTCCCGGCCCCGTTGCTGCCTCGTCCCGGACCCTGCTCGGCCCCGACCCTGTCCCGGCCCTGTCACGGCCCCGACCCAGTCCCGGACCTGTCGGCTCCGCCCCTGATAAGAGCCTAGCCGGGCCGAGCCGCGCGGCCGAGCCGCACTGCTTTGCCGAGTCGCCCTGCCGAGTCGCACCGTCCTGCCTCGCTCCGTTACACTGCTGCCGCTGCTAGTCTGCTGCTGCTCCTATCATGGCTAGTCCTAGTCTTCTCACCTTTGGTGCTGAGGGTCGAGCGGTTGACTTTGATGTCTGGCTAGATGATCTGCAGCTTTTCCTTCAGTGCGATAGCAAGGATGGTCTCTCCCTGTTTGATCTTACGTCGGGCGCCTCTACTGCCCCTGCTGCTGATGCTGACAGTACCGTTCGCTCGCAGTGGCTCATGCGCGATGCTGCTGCCCGCCTTGCTGTGCGTAGTCACCTACCGTCTACTGAGCGCGCGCACTTTAGTCAGTACAAGAGTGCTAAGACTCTGTACGACGCAGTAGTTGCACGTTACTCTTCCCCTGCCACTGCTGCGCTTAGCCGCCTCATGCTACCGTACCTGTTCCCTGACCTCGCTGCTTTTGCCACAGTCACTGACCTCATTACGCACCTCCGCACTAGTGACACTCGCTACCGCGCTGCGCTTCCTGCTGAGTTCTGCGCCCAGAACCCCCCCCCCATGTACATCACCCTCTACTACCTAGTCACTCGACTCCCTGACACTCTCCGCTCGGTCAGGGACCACTTCCTCTCTCTTTGCCCTACCACCCTCACTGTCGACCTCCTCGAGGAGCGCCTCCTTGCAGCAGAGACTAGTATCACCGCTGTAGGCGCCTCTCGTGGTGACCCCCGTACCCCTTTCTTTGAGGGGTGCTCCCCCGTTCCTCTTTTGCCCTCTGTTGCCTCTGCTGCTGCTGTCGACCTTGTTGGCACCGAGTCGGTCAGCGCTGCATCTGCTCCTAGTGAGAGGTGCCGCATCAGCAAGGGCAAGCGGGGCAAGGGAGCTGGAGGAGGTGGTGGGGGCGGCGGTAGTGGCGGCGGAGGCGGAGGAGGGGGTGGGGGTGGGGGTGGTGGTAGAGGTGGGGGCTTCGGTTGTCAGAAGTAGTAGGAGTACGGCCTAGGCTTAGTAGCCTAGGCCACAGTAGGACTAGTAACGAGGAGCCAAGTACGAGCTAGGATTGTGTGCAGGAACAGAATTGAGAAGGAATGATTGAACTAGCAAGCAGCAGGATACAAATGGCAAACCCTAAGGGGCTGTACTCACTATAGAGTACCCCACTGCAGGCTACACAAACAACATATTCTGACACACCCCCATAGCCAAAGTGGGGTGTAATCAGCACAATGAGCAGTCATAGTAATAGTTCATAATTATCAGCAAAGCTAGAGGCTATCACAGAGGGCAAGTGAGGAGGAGGAGGGACTATGAAAGGAGAGAAGATGGGAGGCGACGACTGAAGCTGCAGACACACGGGCAACAGAAGCGGCTGACACAGTGGCGGCTGACACAGTGGCTACCGAGACAGAGCGCCCCGGAATACTGGAGTAACTGGCTCTGCGGCTACGACGAGCGGCAGAAGCAACGGACCCACGGGCGACTGGTGCAGCAGGCTCTCAGTGGCTACCGAGACATCGCGTCCCGGAATACAGGAGTAACAGGCTCTGCGGCTGCGACGAGCGGCAGGAGCAACGGACCCACGGGCAACAGGTGCAGCAGGCTCTCTGAGCTACCAGGACAGTGCGCCCCGGACTACAGGTGCTGCGGACGACAAGACAGCAGCCTCCACTCAACCTCCCCCAACAGTCCCACACCCCTCTCACACACCCCCTGTTTCACCCCTAGCTCCATTCCCACATCACCCCCCTAGTGCCACTCCCCACGACTCCCACACCTCCACCCCCCTCAGCGGCAGCTGCAGCAGTGGGAGACAAAAAAGGAGGAGGGGAGAACCCACACCTCTCACCCCCATGCTCGCCACCCCACACCCCAACCACCGCGGAACGCACGGTGGAATGGGAGCAATGGGCAGCACGGGGGGGGGGGGGGGGACGGGCTTCTGCAGGGGCGGCAGCTGCAGGTGCGGGCTGCTCCAGGGGCGGCTGCTGCAGGTGCGGGCTGCTCCAGGGGCGGCTGCTGCAAGTGTGGGCTGCTCCAGGAGCGGCTGCTGCAGGTGCGGGCTGCTCTAGGGGCGGCTGCTGCACTGGCGGGCGGCTCCAGGGGCGGCTGCTGCAGGTGCGGGCGGCTCCAGGGGCTGCTGCTGCAGTGGCGGGCGGCTCCAAGGGCGGCCGCGGGGGGGGAAAACGCACGGCCCCCAGGGCGCCCCGAGGGGCGACGAGAAGGGAGCCGCGCGGCCCCCCCCGGGGCGCCGCGACGGGCACCAGGGAGGGCGCCGCGACGGGCCCCCAGAGCCACCTCGACGGGCGACGGGGAGGGCGCCGCGCGGGCCCCCCGAAGTCGCCTCGACGGGCGACGGGGAGGGCCGCGCATGGCCCCCGAAGTCGCCACGACGGGCGACGGGGAGGGCGCCGCGCACGGCCCCCGAAGTCGCCTCGACGGGCGACGGGGAGGGCGCCGCGCGGGCCCCCCGAAGTCGCCTCGACGGGCGACGGGGAGGGCCGCGCACGGCCCCCGAAGTCGCCACGACGGGCGACGGGGAGGGCGCCGCGCACGGCCCCCGAAGTCGCCTCGACGGGCGACGGGAGGGGACCGCGCGCGGCCCCCGTGGTCGCCACGACGGGCGACTGGTGGGGAGGCCGCGCGGGCCCCCAAGGTCGCCTCGACGGGCGACGGGAGGGGAGGCCGCGCGGGTCCCCGAGGTCGCCTCGACGGGCGACGGGGGGGGAGGCCGCGCGGGTCCCCGAGAGCACCTCGACGGGCGCTTCGACGGGAGGGGACCGCGGAGGCCCCCCCAAGGGCACCACGACGGACGCCACGGAAGGGAAAACCGCCAGGCGCCCCGAGCGCGCGGCGGGCAGAAATTAGGGTTTCGCCGCCGCGCACCACGGGGCGCGCGGCGGACAGTACGGCAGCGGAAGCGGGTGGTGGGCCCATACACAGGAAGGCGGCAGACATGCCGCCCTCTGATACCATGTCAGAAGTAGTAGGAGTACGGCCTAGGCTTAGTAGCCTAGGCCACAGTAGGACTAGTAACGAGGAGCCACGTACGAGCTAGGATTGTGTGCAGGAACAGAATTGAGAAGGAATGATTGAACTAGCAAGCAGCAGGATACAAATGGCAAA